GTATGAATTGTACAGTTGTTTTCTCTAGTTGTATGAGGAAGGCTGTTGACATTTTGAATAGGATTGTGTTGTATCTGTGTAACAGTTTTGAAAGTGTAAACATTTTATTAGTACTAGTTCTGCTACCCAGGAATGGGAGACATCTTTCCATTTTTTGACCCTCTCACCAGTTTCCTTTTTCCGAGTATTACAGTTTTCATTGTAGAGGTCTTTTATTATCTTGATTAGGGTAATTCCTAGGTGTTTTATTTTTCTTGATGTTATTGGGGATGGTAGTGGTTTCCTAATTTCTTTCTCAGTGAGTTCATTATTAGTATACAACACTATTATTAGTGTAATAGTAAAGGATGCTATTGATTATGTTTGGTTTTATATTCTGTTACATTGCTGAAATTGGTTATTCATTTTAAGAGTCTTTTAGTGGAGTTCTTTGGGTCTTCTATGTAGAGTATCATGTCATCTGCAAATAATGGCAATTTGACTTCTTTGTTTCCTATACATATCCCTTTTATTTTTTTTCTCTTACCTAATTTCTGTGGCTATTGTTTTGAGTACTATATTGACCAGATATGGTGACAGTAAACATTCTTGTTCCTGATTTTAGAGACAAAGCTTTCACTTTTTCCTTATGTAATATGTTATTGGTGATTGGTTTGTCATAAATGCCTTTTATTAGATTCAGGTAAGGCCTTTTGTATCTGTTTTCTTTGGGTTTTTGTTTTGAAAGGGTGTTGGATTTTGTCAAGCCTTTTTCTGAAGCTGTTGATATGATCATGTGGTTTTTTTCCTTGCTTCTGTTTATATGGCATCCTTGCTTATATTGACTCAGCCTTGCAACACTGAGATGAAACCTACTTAGTCATGATGTATGATTCTTCTGATTATGTGTTGTATACCACTTGCCAATATCTTTTTGAAGAGTTTTCTTCTATGTTCATTAAGGAGATTAGCCTATATTTTACTCTTTTAGTTTGGTCTTTGTCTGATTTTACAATCAAAGTGATACCTGGCTTCTAGAAACAAGTTTAGAAGCACTCCTTCCCTTTTTGAAGATTTTGAGTATTGGTAGTATCACATCCTTAAAGATTTTGTGAAATTTAGCAGTAAATTCATCAGGTCTTGGATTTTTCTTAGTTGATAGTTTTTTTATTACTGCTTCAATTTACTTGCTTGTCATTGGGTTTTTATGTCTTCTCGGTTTAGTTTTCACAATTCACATAGTCCTGTTGGATTTTGTTTCTTGAACCAGTCTTTCAATCTGTGCCTTAAATGAGTAACTAAGTTTATTAATGTTGATCGTTATTCATGAGTGGGAAGTATTGATTGTTCCTATCGCTGCTCTTTTTCTATTGATGACACCTTTCACTCTTTCTTTATTTTTGTTTATCTGTTTACCTTGTTTGATGCATTCATTTCATCTGGATTTTGGAGTTTATTGGCTTTTTCACCTCTGTCTACCCGTAGAATTTCTTGAATGTTTTCTGGACTGCTGGCTTGGTGTTCATAAATCTCTTCAATTGTTATTTATCAAGAAATGTTTTTATGTCTCTACTTTGAAAGAAAGTTTTGCTGAATATATTAATTTGGATTGGATTTTGTTTACTTTTACGGCTTAATATACTTAACTCCCAGCTCTTCTGGCTCTTAAAGTTGTGCTGAGAAGTCTGCTGTAATTTAATGGATTTACCTTTATCTATAATTTCTTGCTTTTCTCTGACAGTTTTGAAAATTCTTGTTTTTTGTTGAACACTTGATGTTTTAATTATTATGTATTGTGTGGGGGCTTCTTTTTGCATCATGGTTGGTGCTCTATAAGTCTCACTTACTTTTATGTTGAATTCTTTCCTCACACTTGGGAAATTTTCTATTACGATTTCTGTAAACAAATTTATTCCATATGTGTTGTCTTCTAGATTCTAACTGCAATTAACCTTAGTTTGGTCTTCTTAGTGTCTTCTAATAGTGGTTGAACACATTTTTCTTGTTAATGTTTTTAAGTCTTTTTGGAGTAATTCATTATAGTTTATCATTTAAGAAACTCCTTAATTAAGGCTGCTGGAACTTGATACATTTGTGCACCTGTGAAGTGGAAAAGAGGCAAGGCAAGATGGGACTGCGTAAGATAAGAAAGAACAAAAGGAATAGAATAGGGAGGACAGAAGGTTAGTATATTAGAAGACAGCATCGACAGAGAGCAGTAGAGCGAAGTCAGAACCTGAAAGGAAGACTATTAAAAGTAAGAGACACTAGTAAAAAAATAAAACAGTGTTGCTACAGAAGCCTGAATTGAAGAGATGAGATAGGGAGACAGAAAGAGAGAAAATAAAACACTAATGAAATCAAAGTAAAAATAACCAAATAATTTAAAAATCCCAGAAAACAAACTAAAACAAAATACCTGATGAGATCTCAGATCACACATGCCAACAAGAAAAAGTACATACAATTTATACATGACCATTATGCAGAAAACCCTGAGGGTTCACAGTGGTTTCCTTCTTGGATTAGTTGCAGGCTGATGACAGGCAGCCACAACAAATTACCTTGCATTCAAAACCCAGTCAAACCCAAGTTCAGAAATCTTCCCTCTAACTTGCAGGCAGGATCTGACCCTGGCCAGGGCTTGGTTTGAGACTTGTCCATCCCACAGGAGATGGTGGAGTCTGCAGGCAGGTAGACTCCCTGATGTGCAGCCACGGAGTCTGCCACCGTGGCTACACTCTGGCAGGGGTCCTTGGGGACCCACGAGTGTGCTCACACCCTGGTGGGGTGGGATTCAGCTGCTTGCGAGTGTGAGACCTCAGGACACCTGAGGCAGTTCCCTCACTCTCAAGCAGTGTCCGAAGAGTCCACAGTAGGACAGCACACCTGCAGAAACCCACAAACCATGTTACTTTCATATCCTTCCCCTGCCCAGAGTCTGATGGTTGCTTCCCTTGCCCTCAGTGAGTGCTGGTGAGGATGCTGCCAGGCTGCAGGGTTCCCCAGTGTTTGGAGGAGAAGTGGTGGGAAAGGGGACTAGCACATACAGATCTAACCCAAGAATCCAGTCCCCTCAAAATTGTCATTTCCTCCTGCTATTTGGATCACGCTCCTCCCACAGAGGGGCAGGGCTGGAGCAGAGCACACTACCCTCTTCAGCAAAGGAAACAGAATGTTTGGGAAACATGTGCTCCCAAGTTCATTCAGCTTGTTGGCAGAATTCATTTCCTTTCAGTTGCATGACACAGGACTCCAGTCTCACAGGATTTTCACACCTAGAAGCCACCTAAGGTCCCCATAGTCCACCACCATAAGGTGGTCCCTCTAACAGCATGGCGGCTTCCTTCCTCTAGGCCAGCAAGGAAACTCTCTGTTCAGCAAAGACTGAGTCTTCCATAGTGTCACATCTTTATGGAAGTGACATCCTGTCAGCTTTGCCAAATTCTGCTGACTAGAACCAAGCAAGTTACAGCTCCCAAGGGAAGGAATTGTGTATGGATATGACTCATTTGGGAGACAGATTAGGATATATATCCCATGAGTAGTTTAATAGGCTGAATAATGTCTTCCAGAGATACCAGGTCTTGGTTAATGGATCCTGTCAGTGTTACCTTATATTAGATAAAGAGTTTCTATAGGTATGATTAAGGTAGGGATCTTGAGATAAAAGGATTATTCTGGGTGTTCTGAGTGGTACTTAATGCAGTCCTGTGTAAGGAGGGAATTAGAGGGAGATTAGGTAAGTATGTGTGTGAAGGTGGAGCTGAGAAGAGTTTGAAGGTACAGGCTTTTCACAAACATTGGTACTATGCAGCCACACCAAAGAATGCTGCCAGCCACCAGAAGTGAGGACCTGGCCCTTTTGGAACAGCCTGTGACTCCAGCATTCAGGAAGCTGAGGAAGGAGGATTGCTGTGGGTTCAAGGCCAGCCTGAACTGCATAGCGGAAATTCTGTCTCAAAAATATAGATAGGTAGGTAGGTAGGTAGATAGATAGATAGATAGATAGATAGATAGATAGATAGATAGATGAACATGTTCAGCGCCTCCACAGGGGGTTTAGCTTGATTGATTCCATGACTTTGACCTATTTTATTGTTTAGGGACAAAGAACTAGAAATAATAGTTTTCTGTTGGGGCCTAGTTTGTGGCAATTTTGTTACAGGACACTAATACAAGTGAGTTTTAAATGTTACCTTTTAAATGCATTTCAAGATTACTCAGTGATGTTAAGTATCCTTTCAAAAAGTTACTGACTTTAGATGTTTTCCTTTGTGTTTCCAATTCATATCTGTTGTATTTTGGGAGTGGGTGCATTCTCTTTCTTAGATTAGTAAGACTTCTTTGCGTAGTCCAATTGGTAATCCTGTGTCAGGCATGTGTGTTACTGAAGAAGACATTGTCTTCCAGTTTTTAGCTTGTCTTTTTACTTTATTTATGCTAGGTTCTGCATTCAAACTTATTTTCAGCTTTTTTTTATTATGGGCTATTTTAAACTCAAAAGAAGAGAGACTAATATAATAGATCTTCCATGTGCCCATTATTCAGTTTCAACAATAACTGTCTTGTCCCCCTAGAAGAATTCATTTTCCCTTTAAGATGTGTACCTTTTGTCCATTACTTTAAAAATCATTAAATAAAGACCGATGTAATTATTTGTATGGCTGAGTATGTTTGTCATGATAATGCTCATTCCTGTTCACTTTTACTATCATATAAATGTTACATATAACAGTTTAAATATTGTCAAAAGACTAGCAGCATGAGTGACAATCTGTGCCATCTTCCTAAGTAGCCTGACTTTCTCCAGTCAGCACAAGCTATGGCATCAGATCTTAAGAACTCATCAGTTGTCCCAACAACATTATACATATTACCAAAGAGCTTGTTTAAAAGCCCATGAATCCTTACAAGGCAAATCATGCAGGAATTGTTGAAGTTAGTCTCAGCCTGATGGATTGGCATTGTTGTTTTTACTAATAATTCCTTTTTTTTTCCTGCTTTTTTTTAATTTCCAGTGTGCCATGTGGGCATGAAGCCATGAAAGAACAAGACCTTTGCAACAAGATAACAGCTAAAATTCTAGAAAATTATAATATCCTGTTTGAAGTAGAAGATAGAAAAAATAATACTCAGAGATATGACAAACAGGCCAGGCTTACTGTAGTAAAAGTAAGTAACTTTGATATTTTAACTTTTAGTATTGATAACTTTGGTGGAAGTTTATTTAAATTCTCATTAAAATCACATATGGATATAACTTTAAACTGTTATTTGTAGGTATGTTATTCTTATGAAACCTAGTCTGTCAAATGTTTGTTGAGTTGATATATAATCCAAGATTAAGAATAATAATTGTGACGTTACCTTTACTTACTGCTATAAAACAATCCCAGAAGTGCTCATGTGAACCTAGTACCCTTGTCATTTGGGCATATTGCATTGTTTGTGAAAACCTGATGTTACAGCAGCGTGTGTGCATACTACTATGTTGAAGAGAGCTAACATACGACTCATAGAATTCTTGAAGGCAGCATTATTCTTTTAGTCTCTCTTGTGTCTGCCACACTTTCAAGCCAGCCTCAGATTTTAAGTCCTATTTATTTGTTCTTAGTAACTATCCTATGTACCTGGTATTTTAAAAGCCCTATAATGGATTCCTTGCCAATACTATCTACATCCCTTTATGTATTAGCTGATGATTTGTAACATACCCTTTACACATTAAGTAAATACATGTAGGTCTCCAGAGACTTACATTTAAAAGTCAAAGGATAAATACCCAAACCAAATCCTCCAAAAGTGGGAAAAGGAGGCAGGCATCTTATTTCTCTTTCATTTATATTGAGGTAAATGGTGATGTAGCTGATATAAAAGGAGTTGGGGGGGTGCTTTCTGAGTTTTACAGATTTGCAGACCACAGGGCATTCCTGCTGATTCATATTGCAATGAATGGCAAAATCAGAGGCACTTGGTTCGGGCAGGAAAAGAGGTGTTTTCTTTTAAATCTTTTCTTTCAGTTGAGGTTATAAGTGTGAAGAAAAGAAAGATAAGGGGTATCAAGTAGCATCCTACCAAATCAAGATCAGAAGACCCAGACTAGACTTTCTTAACTAGAGTTTACACTGTTAATGCCCCAGACTCCCTACAAGGTATAGAGCCTCTCTCCTGAGAATGGACAAGAATGCACTTTGCAAGTGTCTCACTAACCTCATAGAACTTTAAACTGATATTTGAGGTCAAGAGAACAATGCTCAGATAAAGTGATAACATGACATAATTGGTGAGTAGCAGGTATTACCTAAGTTGGGATTAGTATAGTAGCTGGAAAAAAAATGTTCCATTGATTTATAAGAGAAAATAAGGAAAAACACTTCAGCTTTGCCACAGAAAATGTTAAATTATTTTTCAATAGAAAAAAAGTCTCATTTAAATTTGTGCCTCTGCTATCAGTAGTACTTTGCAAAGGAACTCTTTGTCAAATGTTAAAAGGCAGTTGACTTTGTTTCAGCTAAATTTGTATAACCACTCTTTAATACTCATACTTTTTATTAGGCCTCAAAAGATAAGAGAACCTAAAATATAATTTCAATAGACCAGTATGATCCTAGGCACAACAAACAGCTAATTACTGGAATATGCCTGAGTATGCCATGCAGGGAAATCACACTTTTGGGATTGGTGGAAGAGGCCTCTGCTTGGAAATCCTTGAGCTGGAGGCTAGAGCTGTCAGATAACTAGGATGAGAGTACAAGATAAGATGCGTACACAGGGTTAGGCATGAGGGCCCTGAGAAGCTGAGTGGAGAAGTTTAAGTGAACTGACAAGGGCCAGTAATCATAAATCTTCATCCCTAAATCACGAGGTGGAACTGGGTTGACAGGAGGATCTTCTGCTGGAATGAGACCTCCATCAGGAAATATTTAAGTGGCAACTGGAATGCCACCTAGAACAGCAAGACCAGGTTTTCATGGTGGTCCCTTAAGGGCTGGTGGAATTCTGTCATCTCATATCAAAGTTGCTGATCGTCCTGTTACATGGCAAGGTTTGAGTGGAATGAAAACTAGGATGAAAGGTCCCCAGCGGCAAATTTTAGATAAATCTTATTATCTTGGACTTCTTTGAAATAAAATAAGTGAACTTACAACTGAAATTAATAAACTTCAAAAAGAAATAGAAATGTACAATCAAGAGAATTTAGTGTATTTGTCATAGAAAAGAAAGCAGAAGGGGTTGGGGATTTAGCTCAGTGGCATAAGCACCTGCTTTGCAAGCAGGCAGTTGTGAGTTCGATCCCCGGTACCAGAAAAAAAAAAAAAAAAAGAAACAGAAAAGAAAGCAGAGACTTCAGCTGTTGAAATCAAAGAGTTTCAAGGACAACTAGCATTTTACAACATGTTGGTAGATAAACTTAACACCAGTACTGAAATGGAAGAAATAATGAATGATTACAACATGCTTAAAGCTCAGAATGATCGAGAAACACCAAGTATGGATGTCATATTTATTGAAATACAAAAGAAAAACAAATTGTGAGTGTGGAAGAAGAAATTGAAGAAGAAAAACAAGCAACAGATGGCATTACCAGAAATAGGTCTTTGAGAAACAAGTCAAGTATATAAAGATGAAAAGCACAAATGAAAAATTGTTATAGGAATTAGATATACTTCAGCAACAATTAGATTCACTGAACCTAAAGAAAGAGAGCTTGGAAACTGAAATAATGTACTTCTAGGTAAAACAGGAGGCTGTATTACTGCACGAAAAACTTTATGAACTGGAGGCCCCCTGAGATCAAATGATTGCCCAGGATCAAAGCATGGGATCTCCAATGGAAGAGAGGGAGAGATTACTAAAACAGTTGAAGAAGATAATCAGGAAATAATCAGCATGGAGAGACAGTTAATAGACATAAAATAAAAAATAAATTAGTTTAATGAAGAAATCAGACAACTTAACATGGATTTAGAGGATCATCAAGGTGAAATGAATCAGAAATACAAAGAACTAAAAAAAAAGGGAAGAAAATATGGATACTTTCATAGAAACTTTTCAGGAAACTAATAATCAGGAAGTGGAATGAAAGACACAGTTAGAAGCCAGCACTGTTGCTCTTTTGGAGCATTGTAGTAGGACTGTAAGTCATATGAAATAGATATCTTCTATTGCCAATCAAGAATAAAGATAATGCAAGATGACCTCAATTTTAAATCTATTGAAATGCAGAAATCACAAAGCACAGCTAGGAATTTGACTTCAGACCGTCAACATCTAGAGTTACATCTACAGAAAATGGAGCTCCTGGAAAATAAGATGATAGAGGAGCAACATTCTCTAAAAAGCAAAATTAAGCAAATAACAATAGATCTAGAGACATATAATGATTTTGCCAGCTTTAAAATTGTCAAGTGAAGAGAAAGAAATTGCACCAGGAGAGAACAGTATATCAACCGCATAAAAATGCCTTCAAGAAAATAACAGAGAAGCTAAACAGTGAATTTGAGACACTAAAAACACAATTACAAGAAAATGAGACACATTCTCAGCTTACAAATTTGGAAAAAAAGTGGCAACACTATGAGCAAAATAATTTTGTGATGAAAGAATTTAGAGCAACAAAGAGGAAAGTGATTATCAGCAAATCATTAAAAATGTGACCAAGCAGATTGTGGAATACAATACAGCCACTCTGGATACTCTACATACCACCAGCAGGAACGAAGTCTGAGCCAACCAATAGTTATCTTCTTGACCCTAAACTTTGTAAAAGATGACTGAAAAATTACAATCTTGCCTAAAAAAGAAAAAAAAGATGCATATACAGAGGGCCAGGAATATTTGAGCAGCACAAGTACCTGCCTGGCAAGCACGAGGTCGTGAGTTTTGGTCCCCAGTATCAAACAAACGAACAAAAAAAAAGCCTACACAGATGATAATCATGAGGCCCAAATGCAGATATGCAGGTAGATAAAGCATGTGCCTGATGCTCTCCTACTGTGAATTTCAGATCTGGCCTAGAGGCAGATAATACCATAATTATATAAGTCCATACTGTGACACATAAATGTGTCTATACTGTGGCAACCTCCTTCTAAGGTAAAATCTTTGATACATCTTTTAAAATTGATCTTGCTAGTAGTTTCATCTATGAAGCAAAGAGTATAGCTTCTCTGGACTGAATTATAACTAATAAAGGGAAAAGGGAGTTTATGGAAATCTTTTTAAAAAGAGTACTCCTACATTATTATAGAGTTACTAATAGTAAAATGACAACCTGCAAGTCATTGTTTGGTGTGTAAACCTGGACAATGCTTGTTTATTTTTTAATTGCAAAGATAATAGAAACATTTAGTAATCACACTTTTCATTTTTGTTGTTTTACCTTATATCCCCATGTCTGACAGTATAAAATTCATTCATGATCCTGGAATTCAAACCCTTTACACTGTAGCCAAACAAGTGTGCCCCATTAAATACTGAATTAATATTGATTTGTTCATTTCCTTCTGATGGCTCCCTCCTCTCTACAGTCTCCTCTAAAGAGTCTTGTTTGTCAATACCTAACACTATTGTCAGTACCTAAACACTGTTCTGTCCTCAGTTCATTCTTAGGCCTTAAATTTAGAGCTCTGCCTAACAAGCTATACATATATACCTAACTGCCTAGCAGTTACTCCCCATGAATTGTCTCATGATTTTCCTTGCCGTTGAAGGTGTAAGACTGATTTTATTCCAGGGCTTTGTAAATGGCCTTGTCACCCACACAAGTGTTCTAGGTTGATATCCATCAATCATGGTTATGTTGAAGTCTAATCCTACACTGATGGTATTTGGAAATGGGGCCTTTGGGAAGTAATTTGGTTGTAATGGTAGAGATCTCATGAATGAGTTTGGTGCACTTAAAAAGTTTCTTGTCTTTCCACCTTGTGTGAAGAAACAGTGCGGGCCTTTAGCAGAACCTAACCATCCTTTCACCCTGATCTCTGATTTTTAACCCCCAGAACTGAGAGAAAAATAATTTTGTTATTAGTCACCCTGTCTATGGAACTTAGTTAAAGTGTTTCAAAGTGACTAAGACAATTTCTAGCACCTACACATTTTACAATTTAGGTGTTTGTTAGATCTCTTCCTTTATCCCCAATCGCACTAATTTATCCTTATTTCTCACTTAG